AGTCACGCAACCTCGGTGAAACACCGAAAACAGACATTTCTACTGAAAAGTAACTACTCGATCTCAAGCGCTTTTCGACAGCGTGGAGCATGTGTAAAAACAAGAGGAGTTGGCTAAAAAGAGAGTGGAAAAAGACAGAGAGGACCAATAAGCTTTTAGCGCTGGCTAAAAAGCTTAAAATAGAGAGAAAAGAAAATGAAGTATTCTACCTCATGAAACTGTATATTGTTGTATATACTGTAAATAGACATCCACTTTATATCATAAAATACATTCATAACCCATATATAGTAATTAGCGCTTGCTAAAAAAGCTCAAAAAAGGTATTCTACCTCAAGAAACTGTATATTGTTGTATATACTGTAAATAGACATCCACTTTATATCATAAAATACATTCATAACCCATATATAGTAAACAGTGTGGGACTTCACGATCACTGTATGAGGTAAGAATCAACAGCTTTTTATCACATTTACACAACACTTTATGAATACAAGTAATGAACAAATCTTAAATATGGCAGGGAATGTGTTTCCTTTTTTAGTTTTGATTTTGAGCAGCAAATTTGAAGTTACATGTTGGTGCTCACCAGGAATGCATAAGCAAAATTGCACAAATTTTCACTTGAAAGAATAGTGAACAATCTTGGGATTTTTTTCTGTTCAAGTTTCAAATAGTGTGTAAATTGAATACACTTCATCTTCAGCATGTTTAGTGCCACTTTTGAAAGTGGCCACGCCCCCGCCCAGACCACGCCCCGTCCAGGCCACGCCCCCTTCTGCTTTTTTCATCACTAGCCATTCTCGTCCCTGCCGTCGGATTTTGTCCTTTTCCAACTTGGGTGTTGACGTGACGCTCGACATTTCGGTCCACAGGGGTTGTCTATATCATTTCCACAGTGACTCGCTTCTTCTTCAGCCTAAAACATGAAGCACCTCATGACTTGTAGTTCAGCCATGCAGCACGTTACCGAGGACTTTCAGCTAAACTCCGGTTCCCTGTCTCGCGAGTGCCCAAAATTATACATTTTTCCAAATATGAGCCGTCACTTGGTCAATTTGTTGCTTTGTGTTGACAGGCAAATTTTGAATTACATTGCAAGCTTAAGATATGCAACCATTGCAACTGAGACGACATCATGATTCGCTATCCCAGAAAGGAAAAAAAAAATTCTCCTCTTGTGTGCTGCGGGATTTTTTTCGATAAAAAGGTTGGGGAAGCTCTTTAAGGCTGGTCAGCATTTAACCTAGCAGGGGATGGAAATTGAATTTGTCCCAAGCTTCATTCATTTTAGTCCTTTTTTTGGGGAGGGATGGGGTTTATTTTGAGTTTGTTTCACAAGAGCCCCTTGTTAGGTTTGGCAATGTATTTCTAATGAGGGGCCTGGATCGTCGCACATCGATGTTTGACTCGCTTCTTTGCCATGAAGAGGAAGCATTGACCCCCGTTGACGCTCTGACATTTGTAACTTTGTCTTCCAAGATTGCTACATCACAACGAGTCCCTTTTTCCACTACAATGAACTTGTGAACGGGAATGTTGTTCACACCTGTCCATCAGCTTGCTGCGTTGATTCGGAAGACAAAACAAAACTTCAAAAATCAGAGATGGTTGTCTGGTCCTTTGATGGCAAACTTCATTCCAATACCGTTTCTTTGTTTTGCCCGCTTTCCGGTGTTACTGTCACACGCACATATATTTTTAGTTATTCAGTTATTGCAACCTTCTGAAAGAATCCCATAATTCTTTCAACCCTCTAAAATTCAGCAATAACATATCGAGACCACTGTGTGAACACAAGCTGCACTAGAAACCAAGACCAAATACCGATGGAAGCAATAACATTTCAAATAAACCAGTTGTGAAGATAAATGAACGCCGAGATCAAGAATATATTTTTTGTCTTGAAAAAATGAAAAGGCTGTCCTTTTGCAGTCAGAAACGTACTCCTCCTTTGCCTCAAATACTGTAAGAAAACGATCGAGTATCTGGTCACGACTAACTGAGGAGGTTCAATTGTAAGTTCCGGGGTTCGTTGTTTTTTTAATGGATGGCTCTACTTTACGAACGGCAAAAGGATAGCTGGAATCCTTTGAATGCAGTTTTATTGAAAGAGGAAAAAAAGGCTTCACCGCAGCACGTTCGAGAACACACTCTTCGCCACTAAAATCACTTCCTGCTTTCCCTTACTTCAACAGCCAACCAGAATCTACCAACATAAAATCATGTCTAAGCAATTATTAAACAACATAATGCAATTTAGGTAATCTTAACATGAAATCATATGATGCTCAAACATAAAACGATAATTAAGAATACAACATAAGCTCACACAGTCAAGGATTTGTAAACCGGGTGTACGGGTTTCAAAACCAGCCTTACTCTCTTGTCGAAAAATCCACCTCACGTGGGCTTTTTCATCTTATCTTGTGACATTTGACAGGGTTTTATTTCGTTGCCGGAAAACTAAGAAAACAATGTATTTTTTTTAAAGTCGAAAACAAGTCGTTATTTCACCTTTCTTTTAATTTGGAAACACCAACATTGAAATACAGCTTGATATTCTATATTTTCGTCTGTAACGAAGAAGAAAAAGTCTAAAAACAGGGTTGTCTTCATTTTTTAACGAAAATAGAATTTGGCACAAGACACAAATGGAAATAAGGGGTTCTTTTTCGATTCCCGGAAGTTGTCACCGACAGCATTACTCCTACTGACCAGGAGAGGGGGACAACGTAACGCCTGAAGACGATATCGTGACCTGTTCTGTCATGATCCATTTCTATCCTGAATTCCACACACGAGCTACAGGTGTAGAAAATTCTCTTACAGAAATAAAGAATAGTGAAACAAACAAACAAAAACAAGAAAAGTAGTCCAAAAAATGAATGAAAATCAGAAATTGCTGTTGAATTCTGGTTTAAATAATAATCATACCTCTCCCACTACGACCACTAGTCATAATAACAAATATTCTCAGCATTCCCGCTTGGGCGACAAAATAAACTTGGGTCACAAATGCTCCACAACCAAAATAAAACTAAAACTAAAAACCAACACTTTCCTTGATTTTTGCTCACAATATGTGATCGCTAATTCACAAATACTGTACAACGGCCTATGGATGTGTGACATCAGTGATGTCTTCATAGAAATAAAATCACAGGAGCTGACCAAGGTTGTGGTGACGGCAGTTTATTCCCATTATGCTGACAGCAAAATGGGGAAGAGTCATCTTCGAGAGCAAATGGCATTCTTTCGATTAAACATGAGCCATTTCCAAAAGGAACTTTAAAAAATTTGAACAAAACATGTCAAACATTCATTCGACTAATTAAGAGCACCGAATTAACTCAACACACAAAATAACGACTTGAGGCTTGCGACATCCATCCTTCCATTTTCTGATCCGCTTATCCTCACAAGAGTCATGGGGGGTGCTGGAGCCTATGCCAGCCATCTTTGGGCAGTAGGTGGGGTCCACCCTGAACTGCAATCTCACGGCAGACAGAGACGAACAACCATCCATGCTCACACTTGCCTTTAGGGACAATTTTAGAGTGTTCAATCAGCCTGCAATGCATGTTTTGGAATGTGATTCAAGTGATGAGCTCAGCAGCAAGCTCTGTCTAGGCCAGGGGTGTCAAACGTACGGCCCGCGGGCCGGATCCGGCCCGCAAAGGACTTTAATCCGGCCCGCGAGATGATTATGTAAAGCAGTGGCGTCAAACATACGGTCCGCGGGACGTTCAATCAGGCCCCACAGGATAATTTAAAAGTGAAGAAAATGCATAAAAGACACAGAATAAATATTTTTAATCAGGTGCAATTCATTGAGTATCCGCTAGGGCAGGGGTCCCCAACTTTTTTTGCCCCACGGACCGGTTTATGTCAGACAATATTTTCAGGGACCGGCATTTAAG